TGGCTCAGTCGTTAAGCGTCTGCCTTGTTCCCAGGGTCCTGGGATCGAGCCGAATCAGGCTCCCTGCTCCATGGGAAGCCTGCTTCTCCCTCTCTCACTCTCCCTGCTTGTGTTCCCTCTCTCGCTGTGTCTCCCTCTCTGTCAAATAAAGAAATAAAATCTTGGGGCGCTTGGGTGGCTCAGTCGTTAAGCGTCTACCTTTGGCTCAGGTCATGATCTCAGCGTCCTGGGACCGAGCCCCGCATGGGGCTCTCTGCTCAGTGGGGGGCCTGCTTCTCCCTCTCCGACTCCCCCCGCTTGTGTTCCTTCTCTCTCTCGCTGTGTCTCTCTGTCAAATAAATAAAATCTTAAAAAAAAAAAGAAATAAAATCTTGAAAAATAAATAAAATGCATCTTCAAAATAAGTGATTTTGGGGCCTGAATTAAAGCCCCAATTACTTGGGTTCAAATCCCATTTTACGGTGTGAACACTTGAGCCTAGGATTCCTATTCTGTCAAATGTGAATTACAGCACATTCACATTCTAGTGCCCCAGAACTGTAGTGATGAGTAAATAAGTTAACATATGTAAGTACTTAAAACGGTACCTAGCACATGGTGTTTTCAAATATAATACTACACATCATGGCCTGACAAACTAAGTTTTTCTTATTATATGCATGTGTGAGCAAGGTTTGTCACAAAACTATTTTGTAAAAAGAACATTTATTTAGTACCTTACGTGTGCTAATGGGAAAATGGTATGATTTAGAAAAAAAAAAATAAAGTCTGAATGTCACGAAAGAGATAAATGAAATCACAGACTAAAAAGCTCTGGCTCTTCCTAGAAAATAAGGTACATTAATTTTGGATTCACTAACAACTTAGAAGTGATTTAAAAACTTATAATAAGGCTTAAATTAGGAAAAATTACCTTTCTAAATTTTAAGCAACTAAAATGTAAAAAATACACCTTAATAATGTCACTATTTCTGTCCTTATTTTCACCAATTTACCAACACTAAAAAAACCTGTTTTGCTTTCTGGTCTCATTTCCTGCAAATGATGTGATATATACCCTAATTTAGTGGTTAACACTTTGGCACAACTAAAATTAATACTTATAGTAATAACAATGTAAAAATTTCTTGAACAAGTATATACTAAACAATTTGGAGTTTACATTAATAGTGTCCCTTTACATTATGAACTGATTTGTCATTTTAAGGTTATTTTCTGTTAGTGTTAATAAAAGTTACACAAACGTAAGAGACCATATAAAATAAAGCCTCAAAAGATTTCTAAGTAAAAGAGTAGGAATCGAAGTAAAGCCCTAAAACTGAATCAATGTCTTCTAATCTGAAAACCTCAATGATCTGATGGACTATTCCTTGCCTATTTGCTGAAACAAAAATATCATACATATTTGAAATGACTCTAAATACAAATTAAAGTTACTCTCTGAAGTACCTTAAATCTACTAGAGTTATTAGGATTTATGCAATAATGACACACAAAATTTAATTTGTAAAGTTAGCTATGCATTACCATTGAACATACATAAAAATTTAAATCATACATAAAAAATTAGTGAAAAGGACTGGTAGAAGAGTAACATTTAATAAAAATGGAGAAATAAAGCAGTGATTTTGATGATTTGTAGTTATCTGTTTACTTATATCTCCAGAGTATTCCTTAACCCACAACTTGTCTTTGTAACTCATTGATTTAATTACCCATCCCCCTTAAATAGGTTCCTCTATCCCTAATATACTTAACATGCCATGTACTTAAAATAATTTCTCCTTTTGTCTCATCAAGAGAAACCACCAAGTATCTGAAGATCAATTTATCGTTCATTCAAAGTTAAACAAGTTCTAGTTCCTTTATCTTTATTTCTATAGTTGCTAAATTCAAACAATCTTAATCTTGTTCACAGTTTTCTGAATACCTCCCCTGAGCTAAAATACAGTTTAAGAAACAGCATTATGAGACTACTTTACTCCTTCTAATGCAGATCAGTGTCACTTTCATACCTCACCTTTTTAAGAGGTGTAATTCTCCTGCATCAATTTGGACTTGTCACTATAAAGCCTAGTATTAAGCATATCATAAAATTTGTTCTTCCTCATCTCAGACTTGTGTACTTACTTTCATCTCTAGAAACTCAGTCGGCAGATAAAAATCATTCATTATTTACAAATAAACAGAAACCAGTTTTCAAGCAGAATCAAATATTGCCTAAGTGTTAGTTATTTACCAGAGAACTATCAAACAATCCTTATCCAAAAAATGCTTACAAACTACTTAATGAAAATAGTTTCCTTTTCATTAGTTTATTCATTTTAAGGCACTTGACCATAACATCAAATATTAGTATTAAGCTTTCAAGAATAAACTTATAGTAAACCTTCCATTTTTTTCTCAATACTCATCAGTCTTTTTCAAGATGGTTACACACACATACCAAGATAATGTCCCATCTGCATATGGCCCATTTCAGCTATAAAATAGCGGCCTGGATTCGCCCAAATAACCATAAATGACTAATCCAAACATCTTTTAAGAAGACATTAAAAAGAGAAATAACTTTTTTACAAGTTAAAAACAAGTTTTAATGAGTCCAAAAACATGAGCCCAGGTAACAATTATTAAATCTTTACCAGTTCTGTAATCATGCAAACAATAATCAAATGTGTACTTCTCAAATTATTCTCCCTAAAACTCTGAATCAAACTTTTGCTCTAAACTATTTCCTTTTTTGACAGATTTGACCTAATGGCAAATTAACTGGCTTACATATAAACCATATTAGTTTTTGCAAATCCACAGTACCATCCTGCTCCTGCATTTTTTCCTTTAACTAAGAGGGGTAATCAATCAAGGACAAAAATTTTCACATTCTGGGGCACCTGGGTAGCACAGTTGGTTAAGCATCTGACTCCTGGTTTCAGCTCAGGTCGTGATCTCAGGGTCTCTCAGGGTTGTGAGATTGAACCCCGCGTCAGGCTCCGCACTCAATGGGGAACCTGCTTAAAAAAGGACTCTCCCCCACTGCCCCTCCCCGCCACTTCTCAAATAAATAAATCTTAAAAAAAAAAATTTCCACATTCTGCTGTTACCTAAATATGTGGACTTCAGTTTCTTTTTCTTTAAAATGAAAGCACTGAGAAGACTCAAATTTATGGACTTCCTGTATTCTTTAAAACATATCTTTAAAATGATTTACAGTAACTTTGTGAAAAAGCAAAAATACTTTTATTTGAAAAATGTCAAAGTTTAATGCCCTCAATACACATACTGTTCCTATCATCCCATAGTGTCAACACCAATTATTACTCAGAATACCAAAAACATACATTAAAAAAGAATATCCATCTGAATAATAGCCATATTTAAACTTACAGATTTCTATTTTATGGAAAACCACATCTATCTTTTTATGAGGTGGTGATAGGCTAGGTGAACTAAGAATCTTTAAGTGTTCTTTAACAAAACATAGGAAGCAAGGATTAATTTATCTTTAATAATCCACAGACCAAGGTAAACATGTGTCCTAGGAAGTATTCAGAAATAAACATCTCACACTTACATTAACAATAATGATTATTAAATCATCTAAAGATCATATTTTCTGTTGTAATGCAACAAGTGTATGCTTACACCCTTAGGGATTTTTATCATATAAACACAGAATCTACGTAGCCTAACAAAGTAGGAAAAAAGTACCAAGACTTAGATCAAAATACTTAAATTCAAGTCCCAAGACTGCCACCTACTAGCTTACTAGCATTTTATCAGAAGTAAATGGTGGTGACAATAAAGTAACTAAAATTTTATGTTAACTCATAAACAGATAATATTTCAGAATATTTCACTGAATCAAGATAAAACCCCTACAATGAAATTATTTTCCATTTCACCGAGGTACAATGATTTAAATTAACTCTCCTCAAAGTCATATTGCAGGTTAAGTGGTGAAACGGTGATCTAACTAGGTCTAAATCTTATGTTCCTTCCACTAAGTCAGAGGAGTACGTGGAAAAAACACTCTGTAAATTATATACCACTGTTATGGTGACAATGGGACATGAAAATAATTGTTGTTATAGTAAAGAAGCACACCATCTTTCCTAATAAACAGCTCTTTATGTTACATATTCACATATTTAAGTTATTCTGAATACCACTTTCTATGGCCGACAAGTATTAAAATCTACACATACTTCCTTCAGTGTTTTAAGTATATCCTTTGGTATTTTATAAGTCTGAATATTAGCAAGTGACTTAAGCCTCAAGTGGACTTATCTACTTTTTGCAGGCCTATGTTATCCCTCAAACAGGAGGGAAGGGCTGCGCTTCTAAGAGAAACGCTGCCGGTTTCTATCAAGCCTCCGCTAAAGCACAAGACCACGTGGTATTTCTCATTAGCCTAAGGTTCCGTACTCCTCTCCCTCCTTTTGACAAGGAACTGGAAACTAGGGTTTCTTTCTCTTAAGTGGCGCCCTGACACATGCCACCTGTGTAGTACGAACCGCAAACATCCTGCAGCCTGCCTCCCGGAAGAATACAAGAATCAGAATAACAAGGAACTTGAATGCCGACAATGCCGGGAAAGGAAATGACTAGAGAAGGAAAGAGGGTAAGATCTTGATAAGCCGCGGGACCTGGACCTGTCAAAAATTGAGAGACTCACGCCGAACGACTATAACCTATCATTCGGGAAGGCCTGAGGTGGGAGCGGCACTACGGAAGGAAGGAGGACGAAAAGAACTGTGTGAGTCGCCGTCGCCGCTCCTCTGAAGTCTCTCAGCACGCCCCGACAAGCCACGAACCCTGGCCCTCATCTCGGGTCCAATCTTTGCCCCAACATTTCGCAAGCAGCCAAAATCCTGCCGCCCAGTGTGGCCGCCGCCGGACCTGCCCGCACCTGTCACTAGCGAAAGACACCAGCCCGCAGTTCCCGCCCAGTTCTCCACCATCCTCCTGCAACCGCGGCCACCTCAACCCCTTTCTCTCACCAGGTGTCCCCTTTCCGAAGCGAGGTTTTGAGCAGCGTCGCGATGTCAGACCGCTGGATGTCCAAATCCGCCGCTCCGCCTTCCGCCATCTTCTTCCACTAGCGGTAGCGGAGGCGGCAGCGACGGCGGCGGCACGCCCCAGAGCATTGTGGGAATGGCGTCCCGCGGCCCCTCCCAGTCCGCAGGTCGAAACCAAAAGAGACGTGGGGGGGGGGGCCGCCTCGGGACAAGAGTTGTTCCCGGGGGCGGACCTAGTACGCTGCCGTGGTCTGCTGCCCCCAATCGGCCCCCGCGCGTCCAGCATCTCGTCTTGGACTCCTCTGGCTCGGGACAGCCAGGTTTTAACTCTTCCGTGTGGGGGCCCTCGCTCCTCTCTCACGAGAGCGGTGACACCGCCCCGTCCATCCTCGACTTCTGCCTTCCCTTCCCTCTTTCTCACAGGCGCCTGAAAACCCTTATTTGCGCATTCACTCACGCTTGAGGGTGGGGTGGGGCGGGGGGCGTGGGGACGGCTAAGATATGGCAGAAAATTGTAACAGCTCTGAGACAGTAGTCTTTTCGTTGCTCGTCGCAGAACCTAAACTCGGTGAATTTTGGCCCAAACAAAGAACAATCCGAAACCGAACACTTGGCCTCAGTGCCCTTCTTGGGCTCCTTTCTGCCCTCCTACTCCTGCTGTAGGTGGAAACCTTTTATAGGTTCTTTGTGACGCCTCCCCAGGCACACCCAGACGCTAAAATGCAGTGAAAAACACGTTCCAGTTCCTCGGTGAACACGGTGTGAAGTATGTATCAAATAATGCCAGGTACTAAAAGGGAAGGAAACGTGCGAGGAAACCTTTATCCTCGATGTTAGAGAGTAACATTTTCTTAAAACACATCTTACCATGTGTGTATACCTAAAATTACTTAGTAATACCGGCTTTTACTGTAGCCAATTATGTTACAAATGGGGAAATCGAGTCTCAAAAATCAAATGCTAAGGTCACACAGTAGGTGGAGAGGTAAGTTTATAACCCAAGTTCCAAACCCCGTGTGCTATCTGTCCACTAGAGCATACTGATTACCTCTCCTTTTGAAAACCTGACCCTAAATATTAACTGGGCTGGACTGGATTCATCTTTGTTTCTTCTTCCTCTTCTTCTTCTTCTTCTTCTTCTTCTTCTTCTTCTTCTTCTTCTTC